GTGATGAACTGACCGCAACCCCCATTCCCTGTCCCCCTGCGCTGCTGGGGGGAGACGGTAGAGAAAAATTGGGAGTGAAGTTAAGCCCGGGAAGAAGAGAGGGGTGGGGGGAAGGTGTTTTAAGATTTGGTTTTATTCCTCATTACCCTTCTCTGATTTGATAGGCAATAAATTAAATTAATTTTCCCCGAGTTGAGTCTGTTTTGCCCGTGATGGTAACTGGGGAATGATCTCTCCCTGTCCTTATCTCGACCCATGAGCCTTTTGTTATATTTTCTCTTCCCTGTCCAGCTGAAGAGGGGAGTGACAGAGCGGCTTTGGTGGGCACCTGGCGTCCAGCCTGGGTCAACCCACCACACCCATCACCACTGTACAAGCATTTATGGTTCAATCTTCCTGGCATATTCCTCAAAGAGAACTTATAAGGCTCTTGCACTAACTGTGCTCTCCTCCTGTGCTCACATTTACTAAGTGCATAGTGGTTCCGCTACTGTTCACTCCCATGTTCTCTCTCATGGCCAGAAATGTGCTGGGAGTAGAAAACTACTGGATATTTAAAAATTCAAAGGTTATCAGAGCTCTCACAGAATTTAAGCTCTAGGACAAAAGAAAAAGAATGGTTCCAGGATCAGCTCCCAGCTGAAAAAAGAGGCCAAACAAACCCTAAGTGCATGTGAGATTGGGTTTGACTGTTTCACTGAAGAACAGGCACCTCCTCGTTGAAGTACAGGCACCTCCTCGTTGAAGTACAGGCACCTCCTCGTTGAAGTACAGGCTCCTTTTATAAAAAGAGTCTTAATTCACTGACTAAAGGCAGCCCTCCAGTCTCATGTACCTAGAAGAATTAATCTCATAAATATTACAGAGCAAGCAACAATTAATCTCATAAATATTACAGAGCAAGCTACAGTTCAAAGCTTTGAATGTGCACTGATTAGGAGAGAGGAAAATAGAGATACTGAAAAATGACCTTTAGGTCACAGAACTAACATTCACTCTGTATGCATACATGTATATATGTTCCTACACAAACAAAACCAACTGAAAACTGAAATAGGTAAACAAGATGGAGAAATATACATTGTTTGAACCTAAAATGATACTACAAACTATTAAGTATAGAAACTGAATTTCAAAAGGAAGCAAAAAACTATCCTGAATCAAGACTATCTTCTGCTTGTTTCTAAATGTGAAATTTGTTACCTGGATCAAAACATACCGTGTATATCGACAAAACTTATGTAAAATCAGTATTCCAGTGAAAAATCATGTGGTACCTGATGGGCCGACTTTCTTTACTATCAAAGAGTGAGAAGATTACTTCCAGTTCCTCTCCCAGATTGGAGCACAGAAGACTCTTCATCTGAACAAAAAGATGGTGGCTGCTAGCTGGTACTGGTGTGTCTTTTTTTCGGTGTCGATGCTCCATCTAAAAATACCACAAACAACACAGCAGCCAGTTTGAATTAACTGTAAAAATCTCAAAACAAAAAGAGGTAAAAAACATTATACTGAACTACTTTCTTAATCCCAATTTTTAAATTTTTAATTCAGTATTAACTTGTAATAGTTTTTTTAATTTCTTTTTTTTTTATCTGAGAAGGAGAATGCAAGTAAGTGACTTTCCCAGTGTTGCACTGCATCATAATTATCTCTAGGAGAAAAACGGTAACCTCTAGAAGTTTACCTTTTTTCTACTCTGGAAATTCTAAGCCACTTTAAAGCTTTGTGCTGTAACAATATAGTATTTCATAGCTGGTTTAAATAGTTAATGATCTGATATCCTAGTATTCAAACACACAAAAAATGCTTTTGCAGAAGACTAAATACCCGTATTTTAAAATGGAAAAAAATCACATCCATGTTTTATAATCTTTGGCAGACTGCTATATAGAAGCTAATTAACTCTCTTGATTTGACTTCACAGTTTATACCTTCACCATTTTAATCACCCATTAAGAGTCAGACAATATTAAGTTGTACTTTTTCTCTCTTACATTGTACCAAAAATAATTTTAAACAGAAATCTTTCTAAGCTGCTTAGCCTTCAAACTGAGGTTATCTTGGGCTTTTTTTTTTTCCTCTTTAGTTTTGAAAGTGCACTCCATGAGTTCCATTATTAGTTTTCTGGGTTATTCTTCCTCTGAATGTTTCTTCTTATGATTAATGGTTCCTCACTGTATTTCATCTAGTGCTTCAACAGGATTCCATAAGATTACATATGACTTTGAAACTGCCCAAAGGTATACTGATTCTAGCATGAAGAAATTACTATTAGGCTTGACACTACAAGTTATCAACATAAGTAGTTAAAAATTATCAAAAATATATTATCATTTCAGCTCCACAGAAAATTGTAGCAATTATATTTTTGCTTTATACTATATTCAAATACAAAAGTTAACATAAATAAAATTTAGTTTAAATAAAAGCTTAATCTTAAGCATGTAAGGCTCAGGACTGTATACCTGTAACAGTTGCAGTACTAGAATATGAGCCAAGGCCCACATAAATGAATTGGCAAGTTTTTTTAGACCTCACTGGAGATTAAATCAGAATGAGAAATATCGGTGCTGGTTTAAGTAAATCAAGATGGGCTTTTATACCCAAAGGAGAGCTTTTCTATGCAGTTTAACTGCTATTTACATTAATATATTAGAAAAGACCTTTAGCCCAGTATGATTAATTGTGACAATACTTGTACCATGAGTATATTATTATATTTCCACAAATCTTATCTAACAGGACTCATGGGTCAGGTAAAGCTCTAATGAAAAAGAGTCTCATAAGCTTTTACTGATTATTAAATTCATGTTAACAGTAATAATTTTAATGATATACCAGAAAACGAAACTTTTAACAAATAACATGTAAAATGAGCATATGTGCACACACAAATACGATATCAAATCAAAGCATCTCATACAGATGTAGAGATGACATAACTGTTCAAAAGAAAACTTCTTTCCTCATAGTAAAACTCATTACATTATGAAGAAAAATTCATTACATTATGAAATGCCAGTTTATTTGATGGAAAAAAGTACTTTTGGTTAAGTAGAAGAAAGCTGCCATCAAAACATCAGTATGTAATTTGATAGCAAAATTACTATTATATTCACATACCAGCCTGTAGAGCTCCGTAATGCTGATCTCTTCAGGATCTACCATAGCATATTCTTTTCTCGGAACTAAGTCAAGTCCCAGTTGTCTGTATGAGGAATGGAATAACAGTAAGTAGTTTCTACAAACAAAGGAAACAAATTAACTCATTGCTTCTATTTACATTTAAGAGAAACATTCCAACAAACAATGTACATGTTAATTGGTACTCTACAGTTGGTTTTGTTTTAATGTATTTTGGCTGTATTCACCATTCATGGATGATTCCTCCCTTTTCTTCACTTTGTAACATTAATAGAATACGTTTTCCCACAATTTTTAAATCTGTTTCACATTGTGGACAATGTACAATGGATATTGTCCTTTGTACTATTGTGGACACTGTACAATGTGAATCGCACTAGAATTGTCAATTTGAATGACAACCACGGAAAAGAAGATAAAAAGAAAATCCATCAAATGCCAAAACATCAGCTTATTTTTAATTTGGACTGGATGGCATCAAAGCTGCTTGGCTGTATCCCCTGAACAAAATAATGCAATGGAGTTGAATCAACAGGAATAAAACTTATTTTCAGCACTGCAGCAAGCAATAAAGATTAAGAACACATATGGGGCAGTCATGCTGAATTTAGAAAAGCTTGAAAGATTAGAAAGGTTTTTTTAAAATATGTTTTTAAAGAGTAGGAACTGACCACTTCAAAAACCATCACAATTCCATTCGGTTAGCACAAAATTCTAAGCAGGCAGTTAATCATACATAGTTAAACACAGTTCTTCCACTATGTTAGGTATTTAGGCTTTCAGATAGCAGTAGTTGCAGAAACCCCTGAAATTCAGTTAATTCTACTATAGAATATTGCTGCATTTAGTCAGAGTTTAACTGAATAAATATAGGCTAAGGAAAAGACTTTGGAAACAGCACCCAAATGCCAAAACGTATTTTAACCTTTTTCTTGCTTTTTTTTAAAAAAAGTAAGATAATACAATTTGCGTTAGCTCTTATTAGTTATTCAGATAAAAGAAAGATGCAAACCATAGTAGCAAGATGTATGTTAGAGATGCCCAAGTAGGAACCGAATTGTGTGACACAAGTCAAAAAGGAAGCAATGTCAGCCAATATAGTTTCAGTTAAGAGAACAGAGCTATGCTAACTGCGTCATCACATAGGAATCTGGCCGGGTGTGTTTTAAAAAGACGTAAAAGGATGCTGCAGATATTCCAATGCAATTCTCTTGTAGACAGTACCACTGCTATGTAAAATGAAGTGAGAGAAAAATGCAAAATAAAACGACAAGTCATTTTTCTCTGTTAAAACTTAGTGGACAGAAAAACAATGAAGGAGAAAGTCCATTCAAAACAAAAGGTAACACCTGTCAGAAATTTGTTCCTTATTTCAACATTCTACAATGAGCCTAAAGCAGTGGCATTATAATTACACTATTTTAATTTATTATTTTATTTACTCACTCATTGCCCCAATCCAGACGAGCAGTGATGTGTCGCTTGACATCCTTCATTCGATCATGGGTGAGATGGCCGACAAGGACCTGCCTTCGCAGGTCTAGGATTTCATTCATTATGTGCCACAGTCGGTGAAAGAGATCCCCCTCGTTCCTCTGTGAGATAAAAATATAATTGCCTCTACATCACCTGTATAAGCTGACAATGCTAATAAATACAGATATGGTGGGGAAATCAAGAAAACTTCCTTATTCCCCTACTTAAGTCTTTTTTCTCCCCATCGTACTGTGACCATTTTACCTGCATGCATGCGTGTGTGCGTATAAAATCATTTCAGAGTTTACCACAGACCCTGTCTTTGCACCACACTCACTCCAAAATTTCACGCCAACTCCTTATGCCTCATGTTAACAGAGTCTAATTTATGTGATAGGTATGATAAAAATTCAACAAAAAATTGTTTTATGCCAAGAGCATGTTCATTCTGTGCTGCTGTCTCATCCAAACTGAATATGTGATCATGTAATTCAAGACTATTTGAAGTCATAAGGGGATGAAAAGGCAATCACTCACTCCAAAATTTCACGCCAACTCCTTATGCCTCATGTTAACAGAGTCTAATTTATGTGATAGGTATGATAAAAATTCAACAAAAAATTGTTTTATGCCAAGAGCATGTTCATTCTGTGCTGCTGTCTCATCCAAACTGAATATGTGATCATGTAATTCAAGACTATTTGAAGTCATAAGGGGATTAAAAGGCAATAGCTCCTAGCATTCAAACTCTGAACCACAGAGTGTTAATGTTCTTTTAACTTTTTCTTGCATGGACATAACTGTATACACTACCATCTAACCATAAATAAATATTATCACATACACAGAATCTTGTCCAGACAGTTCTTCATCTAACTGTGAAGTAGGAGAAATTATGTGAATATGATTGCTTTTTAAACCACATCCTCCTACTCTAATTATATACCAGTTAAGGACATAAACAATTCCCCGTAAGAGTGTCCTCCCAAACAGAAGTTCTTTTAACTCTTCCTTCCCCAATTATAAGTGGTTTTACTTGATATAATTTTTCTGAGAACCTTTAGCTTGAGGAAATTATTGCAACCTCCATTTAAGTGATGCATCACACAAAGTTGAAAAAACATTCCTATTCAGATTTGTTCTGCTAATTCTTGCCAAAAAACCCTAAACCCAATTCCCTTTTCCCTCTTCCTACGAACAAGTAGCATAAAAACAAAGTTCAGCTACTTCTGCTGCACAATTGCTATGAAAAGCTAAAATTCACTTAGAAGCACCATTACTCTCTGTCAATAACTTTTATATTCCAAGGGCTCTGGCAAACTGCTATTTGATAAATCTGCTCTTTTTATTTCACATTCATTCACTTCATAAGCTCACTAAAATGGGCATTAATTTATTGTTTGTCTTGGCTTTCTGTCTGGAAAAAAAAGAAAGCCAGTTTATTTTGAACATGCAATAACAACAGCAGTGAAGAAAAAGGTTGCTAAAAAAGAAACAACTTCAGTAATAACAATAGTAATATATGAACTTTATAAGTAAAAGAAAACAAAAAAATGGTCATACAAATAGCCCTTGAATTAGGAGCGAGAGACAAAAAAGACTTTATAGGAATGTTATAGAGAACAAGGCTGACAGTATGTTTTCACAGTTTTCCATCAGACATTAGCGTATAAAGATTTCATTTCTACAGTTAAAAAACCAAATTGAATAAACACTAATTCAGGTGCATCTTTGGTTTTGGTATCTGATGATAAGCTCTACTGAAGTAAATTATTCATGTGTATACAAGAGACATGCTAACGTTTAACAACACTATTAAGCTCAAAATAACATTTTCAGGTATCCTTTCTGTTCCAAAGCTTTAGAATTTGTCTATGAGTTGCTTGTATCTCAAAGTGCTGAGTGGATCTGCAAGCAACTGTGCTTGCTTTATAGATTTAGGTCTCAACACTATGGGATCATATTTTTGCTCCCTTTGTTCCAGAAGAAGTCAATATACTAATATACTTGCTAATATACACACAGCAATCAGACTTCAGATAGTCAAGAAAACTACTTGCCATTATAATCTAGAGAAATTTCAAACAAGCTTTGAAGAAAGAGTTTCTTGTTTCTCGAGAAACAGTTCCTATTGCTTAATTACAATTTCACTGTCAAGTTTAAAATTATACTCTATTGCTTAGAATCTAACAGAAAGAAATGTGAAATGCTTGATTTTGTAGGCTCCTGTATAAAAGCTTTCACTAAGCAAATTAGCAGCTGCTCCAATTGCAAGTTTCAGAAAGGTCACCTGGTTCTGAACAGCCTCTCTGAACACAATCCATACAATCATCTCAAAAAGGTAGCAGACTGGCTACTTCTGTACCATCCCTACTTGTAGGAGGTCTATTGGCACCACTCATTGCTGTTTCTTATGTAGCAGAAGGTAGCTAATCTTCTCACAATTTAAGTCATAATAATCAACTCAGCAACGAGTTAAAATGCGGGGCTGGAGACTATGTAGATGCAAGTGAACAGGTTTTGATTACATTTTATATGTGCATATGCTGCCAAGTCCAAACCATGGTTTGGTTGTAATGTAGTAGATTAGAAGGTCAACTGTTAAAAACGGAAGACAATCATGATGCAAATCACAGTTTAAAACTAAAATATTTTAGTTAAGCCTTTAAAGACACAACTCTACAGTCAAAAGAAAGTAAAAAAAAGTTAACAGAGGAAATAGAAGTAGGCATGGAAAAAGGAAATTATAGCAATTATTAAGTCTTAGATTATGATGTGAAAAAAAAAAAGTTAAAAGATGCAGAACGGTCAGTGAAGGCTGAATTTCAGTCAGAATAGAGATACTGAACAGGTTTCTTTCTACGTGTTGTAAGTACACCAAAACAAAACAATTTCTACATATGGTGGTAGCCAATTAAGAGAAGGAAATGGTAGGATTTCTTACAGTGAAAAAGTAAGTCACTGGTCTGAAACCTCACAAAAGAATGGGAGCCTGCAACGGGTTCATAGGAGACATGGGAATGAAAAACCGTCTAAGGAGCTCGTATCCTACTGATACTGCACAACATTTAGATAAATAAAGTAGAATAAACCCACATCTGTATGATTTATATAATGGAGTAAGAGCTGCTTAAATGACTGGTGACTCAAAACAAGACTATACATAGGAAACCATCAGGTGGCTAAATTTGGAAGAGTTTTTTCTATACAAAAAAAAGTTTGCCTACCCTATTTAAAAAAAACAAACATTTTTATTGATATAATCTTTGCTTCAGCTGAAGTTTTTAAGGGAGGTAATTACAGAATTGGAGAGGTCACATTTACAGAGTGAGCACAATAGAGTGATGGAGTGATAAATGGAAATTACGGAAGTAACACACACCACGGTGTTCTTTGAGAAAGAAAGAATAGTTGCTTATTGCTACTTTGTGTGTGGTGCTCACCCAACTGCTACTGGAATACTATATCCAGTTCTTAGTCCAAAAATGCAACAGAAAATACAACATGGTTTCAGAAAACAGAAATGGTTAAGGCTAAAAAACATGATTTAAAGTGAAATTTGTGAAGATGAATCTACTAAGCTAGTTAAACAGAAAGCTAAGACTGCAAGTATCTATTAAAGTAGAACAATTTCATAGAGGGGCATTCTGTAAGGAGTTGTAATAGGATTACTAAGACCGGTATGAATGAAATATGAAAATGTATACATAAGTACAAGAAGAAATGACAGAACAAGGAAAGGTAGGCACTAATAACCATAGAACACCATAGGTGCGATTTCATTGAAACAAGGAGAGAAACAAACTGACCTGAAGATGTGAGGGAGAGGGAGAAAAAGACCAGAGCCACAAAATATCCAGATAAGGAAAACAAGAGAACTGTGAAACATGGGACTTCTACTTAAAACTTATGAAGTGTGAGATAAGGAAGAAGTTCAAAACCAGAATCCACTTCTGTAATGTGTGGTAGGTAAATCCAAAATCAGTTCATTACTGCTAATCAGGAACGACCTCCCAGCCTCCCTCAGCAATGAGGACTCAACAGCTGGCATCCCTTGATCTCCATGTCATGTACAAGAGATCCTGGTCAAATAACATGGACACATCCCAGCGCTTTTGAGTGTGTGGATGTGAGACAAAATAAAAATATATGAGACAATGAGTATAAAACAAATAAACTGGCTGAGAGATTTTCAGTAATATGCTATATTTCTGTATTTCAATAAAAAAAACCAATATTGCTTGTTACACTTATTTCCAACACTTCAATTTAGCAGACAAAGGAATCCTTAGATCCAACGGCTACACGATGAAGCTGGACAAGACTCAATCAATAAGTTGCTAAAGTTTAGCAGCAGTAGTAGTCAATGATTGGAACAAATTCAGAGATGTATTTAGTCCATAATTAGAACAGTTAAAAACCAAACTGAATGCTTTTTTCTGAAATATATACTTAAACTAAACTAGAGCATCTAAACAACAGTGTGTATGTTGCGTTGGCATTAAATCAAAGCAACATTATTCAGGGTACTTGCCACATAGAGTTGTTTCCACATCGTTCCCCAGTCTCTTAAAGTTGATGTCATTTCTGTAATAACAGAATCTTCTGTTGGAATAACCATTTCAAATTGTCTGTAACATGCAGAAGAACACATGACATTACACAAGCATTACAGATCCCATTACAGTTACTAATATAAAGACTTCCTTCTGCCAACAGTGATGTCTATCAACCTACATGTGTGCTCCTTCAGCCCATGACACTTTTTACTCGTGTATTTCATTTAATCCCCATGGAAAAGTCTTGGGTGAAAATAATTTAATCCCCATGTAAAGCCTTGTTCCTAGAGAAGTCATGGTGAATTTTTTACTATGAGATAAGCACATCAAAAACTACTTTCGCAGCAGAGTAATTCCCACAGTTTCCAAAAGGATCTTGCTGCTTTAGCTTAGACTCCAAACCAGTGATTGTTGCCACTCATTTTACATCTCTGTTTATAGAAATAAGACAGAAAATGCCATTCCTTCAACTGAAAGAGGATATAAAAACTCAAAAGAAAACTAGTAGTGTGAGTGAGTTCTTGCCTATTTGATGCTGGGCAAGAAAAAGCTGGGTTGGCTTGGTCAAGACCAAACTCTCCACCACACCATCACTTTACACACCATCATCACTACCACTTCATTCTCACACACAGTGCATTTCAAAGGTTTGCATTCATGCCTGGATTACTTTTCTCATTATATCATGTGACAGCCCCTGGCCGTGATGCGCTGTAAGGCACATGGCCTGAATGGGAAACACAGACTAACGAAGAAAATAGAGGCAACAAAAGATTGAACTCCCTGCAAGTACTGTCATGGTGTCTGCTAATAAAAATTATTCCATCTTTAAGCTTTGTTTTATTGTGGTGGTTTACAACAATTTTATTTCACCAAACCTTCAGTTTTATCTACAACCACTTCTAAAGGAGAAAGCATCCTAGGGCATGACAAACCACATGTGGCTTGAACTCCATAGCAAACAACAGAATGTTTAACAGTAATGTGGAGCCATTTTCACCTGTGGGAGAGAGACTTCTTTTTTTTTTTAATATGATTACAGTCTTCATGATTATTTTTGCCCATCATGAATCATGGGCCTTCTACTCACTCACGCTCCCAAAATAAAGGTCACCCACACCTGATGTTTAAGTGTCCATCTATTATGACGAGAAATGTCTTTACCTAAACAGCTTTCAAACTGTTATGTATCAGTTCTCTATTAATAAATCTAAATAAATGATACAATGTGAACGCTCCCAAATTAAACTGTGTTATGTATCAGTTCTCTATTAATAAATCTAAATAAATGATACAATGTGAACGCTCCCAATAAGTAAAACACTTTGGAAAAAACTGTGTTGAACTAAGATCATTGACAAATAAAAAAAATTTAAAAGGGATACTGTCAAGGTAAGTATTACATCTAAAAAAAATAAAAATCAGTGTTTCTTTTAGTCAGAACATTTGAGTTCCAAAACAAAAGTTTTAAACTAATTTTAACCAATTGTTCTGGTTTTTATTAACTCTTCTAAAAATGAAAAGAGATCAGTTGTTATCAAAAATAAATATTGGCTCTTCATCACCTAAAGAAAAGAAGTAAAGGACAAAACACCTCTATTCATTTACAGTTTTAGTTAAATCTTTTGCCATTGAACTGATACATTATTTACAAATTTTTTGAAAAACGCTAGCTGTCTGCCATGGTACAGCTGCTGTCCTCAAAGAAAACAACTAATCTTAAACAGCAGGTTAATAGCCAGCTTCTGTACAGATTAACTTCTTCTAATTAAGGCAATATCTTTTTCAAGCCAAACTTAACAACAGGAAATGAAAACATGCCATCATTTTCTCTGTCCTCTGGACAATACAGACCGATATTCCCAATTGCCCTCCATGTCTTTTCAGAATACATCACTCCAATTTTATGACCATGCAGGAGTATCAGGTTAGCTAAGGACAACCATTTCAAGTCCTATGGCAGTAAGCTGAAGTTAAGATATTATAACATAACGAAGTCACCACTTTACCTTATAAGCAAAAGATCTTTGGTACAAGTAACTGACCATGTTTAAATATTTGAATCCAGAACATTTCACCTACCCTTTGTTCTTAACACAAGCATTTTTCAAGTGAATGTAGTTGGATGGAAATATGCCCTGAAAAATAAAATAGTTTAGGTAAAAACAAAAAAACTCCCCTTATATAAGTCTGGAGTTCCATTTAATATGTGAATGCGTGCTGAATTAAAAGTCCTCCAAATAATTACCAAAAAACATGCACAAAAAAAGAATGCAATATATACTCAGTATAGATCTAACAGGAACTAAAATGTCATATTCAGTAGAGTTGAAATCCTTCAATACTTCAGAAAATTAGAAGATAAACACATGTAGAACATATAGAAGATTGCTTGAGAGCTCACTTATCCTAGATGTTTTTATTAATTATTCCCACCTTGTCAAGAAACGGACCAACTGTGGGGTGCAACGTCTTACCAACAGCATCTTAAAAATAGTATCTTCAGATAGGGATTTTCAAAATAAAGCAAAATAAATAAAGTTAACAAAGTTCAACAAAAATAAAGTTAAGTTAATAAAGAAAGTAAAAATAAAGTTTTATTTGGTGGCTACTATGCCCTGCAGTTCATGGGAAAGCTGTGGTAGATGCCTACCAAAAAGCCTCAGTGTCATGACAGGAGTGGTCCTTTTCTAGTTATTTAAGGGCTTTCCACTGTTCTTTTGAATGGACGGCATTGCTGCAACAGTCATACTGCTCTTACAGTGCACTAACCTTCATAAATCAGAACAATAAGCAAAATGAAGCAACTCAGTTTCAAGCTTCTGGCTGGGAACGTAATACACTACAGCTCGTTACATAATCATAGAATCATAGAATAGTTTGGGTTGGAAGGGACCTCTAAAGGTCATCTAGTCCAACCCCCCTGACGTGGGCAGGGACATCTTCAACTAGAGCAGGTTGCTCAGAGTCCCGTCCAACCTCACCTGGAATGTTTCCAGGGATGGGGCATCCACCACCTCTCTGGGCAACCTGTGCCAGCGTTTCACCACCCTCAGCTTAAAAAATTTCTTCCTTATATCTAGTCTATATCTAATCCCCTTTAGTTTAAAGCCATTCCC